CTCTTATAAATTTTGCTTTCTGTTACATAAATTGACTGACATATAGATTGAGATCATTGTTGAGCAGGTTTAAAGAATCTAATATTTAGCAGTGATGTTTGTATAATCGGGATTGTTTTTGTGAAATTTCAAACCACTTTGCCTTCAGTTACCTTTAGGTTCGTCAGGTCATTTTTCCTTTTCTAACTCAAATATCATTTATTCCTTCCAGTCTTCACATAGTTCCCTGTACAACATAAGCCTGACCTAATTGTTTCCAGTTTGAAACGCTGGATTGGCCTGTTTCTCCCGAGCAAAAGAAGTAGAGCAGTATAATACTGTTTGGAAGCCTTACTCTGGGTTTTGTTTTCTCATTTCCTAGATTTTCTTTTTATTATTATTGTAATGAGGTACCCCACTCTGATCATAATATTTGACATATATCACTCAGACAAGGGGATAGAATGGAAATTTTCAATTGACAGAACCCAGGCTGAGTAGGTAACCTTATGGTTAGGGTTACAGTTAGCCATAGCAAGTATTTCTGCGGTAGACATTTAAATATCCTCATAGGCCCTGTAACACAGCTTTGGATTAATAATGTCATTTCAGTGATGTGATTCAGCCTCACAAGTATTCAAACTTAAGCACCTTCAGAAAGGGAGAGGAGCTTCTAAGTTTCTTACAATTTATTATAGAACTGAATATATACATTAGCTGTGTGTGTGTACAGAAATCATTTAAAAAGATAAATAGGGCATGCAAATCACTAGGGATAGAGCACCTGGGAGCCAGTACTCAAGCACGATTGGAAGGGAAGCAAGGACAATTCACATTGGACATTTTCTGATAAATTTTGCCAATTAAAAATAAGATTTTGCCATATTTGATTTATCAGGATAAAAATTAATTTATTAAAATTCTTAAATTTATTGAACATTTATTGCTTTAAATCCATGACTCTGATGAAGTACTCTTGAGTATAAGAAGCTCCAGGATATTAGAAAGCTTGTGTCCCATAACTGGTTTATAGAACATGGCAAAAGATCTACTTTGTATGTGGATGTCAACAACCCAAATGCTCTACATGGTAGAATTATTGAAAAAGAAGTCTCTTTTATTTCTATGGATGAGCAAGGCTCTTTTCCAACGCCTTTGGATAAAAAATAGGTTTTTCATGCTCTCAGAATCAAATCTTCAACTTTCCAATTGGAGATTGGATTTGATGGCCATGCACCTAATGTCGTCTTATATGTCTCACTTCCTTGGCACATGAAGACAGATTCAGGCCTGTCTTTATTTACAACCTATCTTTCTTCAAACCAAGGAATGTGACAGTAGAAATGTAAACATCAGGTGCCTTGAGGTGAGAACATGACTTTTGAGAAACTAAGATGGCAACAGAGAGAAACTCTCAACCTGTAAGGAGGAAAGAGCAGGTTATAGACAATTTACCATGTTAAGTCCCTGCCTCACCACAGGGAAGAGATGAAGGGTGAGGCTGCATGCAGGTATCGTTGTGGCCCTTCTGCAATAATTAGCTTTCATCGGGCTGGATTCTCCTGTGATCCTGGGTAAAATAATGCGACATTGTTGGATATTCTGTCCCAGTGTTAGGAAAATGCCAGACATTTCATTACACTAAAGTTTGTATATGAGGTCTGAAACGAATGAGTTGTGTCCTGCACACTGGGCTTCAGTGTCATGGTGGTAAATTCTAAAACTGACAAACACTCCCCCACAACTCCAAAGGCATTATAGCATGTTTGAAAATCATATAAATTTTTTAAAAAAATTTTACCTTGAGTATAATTAAAATGAGTGTTAGGTCCCTTGCCAAGCATGCATAAACTTCTGTCTCACATCCAGAGCCAGGCAATAAATGAATAAACTGATGAGTACAGTAGCTTTTATAGCTTATAATGCTAAAAGTTTGATAATATGTTCCCTTATTTAAATAAGGGAACATATTTAAATAAGGGAAGATGAAATAATACTGTAAAGGACGACTTCCAGAGGGGCCACCTTTTAAACACAAACTTTTGATCTCCTTGAAGTAAGAAATTCACACACATGAGATTTCTCAATGAGCAGAGAGAGAAGCAGCTTTGCTCACCTAATTTCTCTAATTCAATGATAGTTAATGGATATTGTTGAAAAAAGCACATGCTGAATGAGGTAGGACTTGGACTGTGCCTTTCGCACCTCTTTCATGTGTGGTTTTAACATGTGTGACGTTGTGTCACTGTGACTTGCATATGGAGCAATGCTTAAAATTTCCAATCTACTTTTTTATACCTGATACAAATTTACATGGCATATTTCTGCATTTTAATCTAGGGTATTGTCTGTTGTACAGTGTCTTATTGATTCTATCAGTTTCATATTGGTAGTTTAATATTTCAGCACATACCCTGTAGTTATCTGCAAGAGACCATTTTATGTGTTCCAGCTTATTTCCTCCTAATTTCTTTGTTTCTTGTGTCATGTCTGCATCCAGTGATATAATTTAGGATTTTTGTGATCTAGGTTTTATTGTACTGGATAACATTAATTATTCAACAATGTCTCTAACTTTTTAATAGTTTCTTCTCTATGATCATTTATAATCTGCTCAAACACAGAGCAATGGAATATTCTATTTTCTGTGGAATGATTTTCATTTTTATGTTGCTGTTGTTTTCTCTAATTTCTTACTGGGAACTCACCTACCATAAGCTCAGGTGTGTTAGGACCACAATTAGCCTTAGTCTGAGACTTCCCGAAGAACATGATAGAGTGCCGTGATGCACTCAGCTCATGGCCCCCACTGATGAGCTTCTCTCATTTATTTATTTATTTATTTGTTTGTTTATTTATTTATAAACAAGGAATCAAACTCAGGACCTCGTGCTCAGCAAGCAGGCTATGTGCTGCTGAGGTTTATCCCTGGCCCTGAGCTTCCCTTTTATAGAGAGTCCTTGCTGGTGCTTGCCCTGGCCCAGGAAGATCATATTTGTAATCCCATCAAAAAGTATTGCAATTCTAGTGAGTTAATCACAATTTGCCATTTTAGTGCAACCCATGGCAAGAATAAATACAATAAGGTTTATTTGTAGTTAAGGGGAACCAAAGGGTCCTAAGTCTAGCCATGGTGAGGGCTATCTGGAAGAAAGACCTTGACTCGGGGCAAAACATGGAATTTATTAATGTGTGAAGAAAGGAATGGCTTAAGGATGAGTGACTGGAAAGGGAGGAAGTAGGTGTGTGCTGTGAGGTGGGCTAGGTAGGAGGCCCAAAATCCCCTCTGCAATATGCAGAGAGAAAGATATGCAGAAGCAGTAATCTGCGTAACACAATTGAGATAGTATCTAATATTTTGGGGTCAATACCTCAGCTCTGATGTATAATCTTCCAAGCCCTGAGAAGTCATAGCCTCTTATCTCCAGGCTTGATCCCAGCCCACAGTATGGAGCACTGGCTCTTTATCCTGCCTCATCACGCCTCACACAAGGGCAAGAAGGGGGGATCAGGAAACACTACCTGTCAACATATCAGCACCTCAGCTGGATGGATATGCATTGCTTAAAGAGAGTTTAAGGGATAGGGGGAAGGGATAAGGAAAGTCCTAGCAAGCTCTGTTCGTATCAATACATGGATCGCTTCTCGGCCTTTTGGCTAAGATCAAGCGTATCAATACATGGAAATAGGGTCGGGTTCAGCCCAAATGGAGATAATTGTTCCTTCTTCAATAAGAGTCACTCCGGTGGTCCTCCACACCCTCTGCCCTATTTTGTCTAATTTTCTGAAATTGCTATCTTTGTTCTTTTCCATAATGTACATTCATTGCCTTTAATATGTTTTCAAGCACCCATTTTGCTTTCCTGAAATAATTAAAATGTACCTTCACTGTCATATATTGTGAAATCCTTAATAATTAATTACGTGGTTCATTTGTAACGTGTCATTTAAAAATTGATAATTTGATGTACCATTCTTTTTTTTTTTTTTTTTGGTTTTTCTCTGGTACCCGGAACCGAACTCACGACCTTGCGCTTGCCAGGCAGGCACTTTTGCCGCTGAGCTAAATCCCCAGCCCCTGATGTACCATTCTTAAGATTATTTGAAATATATTTCTACTTTCATTTCTAATTTTATTCCAGTATATGTGAGAGCTTCCTTTGCATGATTTCCACTCCACTTACTGTTAAATTTTTTGCTGTTGCTCTGAACATGGGCTACATCATCCTCCCAAGTGCTTTGCTAACAGGCATGTAACATCTCACTGGGCTGAACATTTTGTTTGGATATAGTGATTAGTTACTTTGGAGTGCCTTGATTTTCATTTTATTCATATACTCCCCATACTGTCCTCCTTACACCATCCTAGAATTATATTCAAGTGCAAGGAGACAATTTAGTGTTCATGATCTATAACTTTATATGCTATTCTGTCCATACTTTCATTGTCTACAAACTGGTCAAATAAACCTGTGTGTACATGAATTTTTAAATTATTCACAACACTTATTTATCATTTAATTATCTGCTTTCTATGAAACCAAATTCAAGAATCTAAATGTTGTCTAAGTACAAAGAAAGATGGACTCAATGCTATAAATATGTGAAAAAAGATATAAATGATGCTATATCAGAGCCATTCATTAAATGTGTCTCTCCTGCGGTGTATCAAAAGAGATTTGTAGGTTCCCCCTTTGAGGTCTGCTTTAAAGACAGAGCAGAAGTACAACTGAGGGACCTTGCAAGACAAGCAGCGCTTCCATACTTTGGTTGCCTTGTCAATGTGTTGCAGTCTAGCATCAGAGTAACTGTGTGAATATATTCGCATGTATGTGGGTTTGATGACCAAGACATGTGGTATGAGAGGAGCAGAAATGTATCAGCGTGTGTGTCTGAATTTTTTTATGGCCCCAGGAATGGAACCCAGGACCTTGCACTTGCCAGGCAGGTACTTGTGCCACTGAGTTATATCCCTGGCCTGTGTCTCTGAATTTTAAAAAATATGTCATTTTTTAAGAAGCAGTGACCTTTGAGGATGTAGCTCTGAACTTCAGCATGGCTGAGTGGGCTTTGCTGACTCCATCCCAGAAGAAGCTCTACAGAGATGTGATGTGGGAGACATTTATGAATATTAATGCTATAGGTAAGCATGTTATCATTTTCTTACAGAAACAGAAAGCATTAATTTTTGCTCACTGATGTAGTTCAATAAACTGGAATGTTATAACTTTTTTTTGTCTTTTTGAGACAGGGTCTCGCTATTCAATTCAGGCTGGTCTTGAGCTCACTTTTTTAGTCCAGACTGGTCTCAAATTCGCAATGATTCTCTTGCCTCAGCCTCTGGAGTGGTGGGATTACAGGCATAAGCCACCATGTCTGGCTAACATTTTGTAGTATATTTCAGACCTGGTTACTGTGTACCATGTTTATAACAGGAATCTATGAATTTCATATAATATTATTTTGACTTTGTATATTAATATCTGCAATACAGGAAAAACATGGGATAAGCAGCAGTTTGGAGAAGAGGACAAAAATTGTTCAAGAATTTCAAGGTAATTTTAAATTTCTAGAAAAGGGGAGTATTCTTCCAGAGTCAGTGTGTGACTAGAAATACTACAAGAAATTAATGTAAAGAAATGAGACCATGTTCCTACTTAACCACAGAGAAATAGGCAGAGAAGCATTTGGTTAGAATTTGTATTATCTGTCAGTCCACAGAAAAATATTGGAATGTAAGAAACTGAGGTATTGTTTATACTATACAACAAATAAAAATACTTGCTACATCAGTATGAAAAGTTCTTTCATGATCAACATCATAGAATTATATGAGAGTGGAAATAATTATTGTATTTGGCATATAGGAAATGAGTAATTTTTGAATTTTGACAGAAATTTATCTTCAAAATGTCCATTTATGCATATATATGAATATGAGACATTCATGATCTAGAAAATTTGTCACAAGGAAGCATATTCAAAATGCAAGTGAGTGTTAGTGTTGTCATACTAAGTAATTTGAAATTATTCTCCAGATTATTGAGATGTTCATGTTTAAAAATCTTCAAGTCACCCTCACACATTGTTGGTGGTATATAAAATGAAAAAATTATAATAATCAATATACGGAGGTTTTATAATTAAAAAGTTGTTTCCATTAGATCTAGGTATACCTTCATGGATATAATCTTTTTTTTTTTTTTTTTTTTTTTTGCTTTTTGGGCCAGGGTCTGGCCAGCATGGCCTGGAACTTATTCTGTAGCCCAGGCTAGCTTTGAACTCAGAGCAGTCCTCCTCCTCAGCCTCCAGAGTGTTGAGATTATAGTTTTGTATCACATGCTCCATGATTCTGTTGATATATTCTGAAATTATTTTTAAAAATCTTTAAGTTTTAGTGATCCATACTGTGCTTTGTTCAAAGAACCACCTTAGTGGGTATTCACAGTATCTCAGGTGTGGAAGCAATTCATGATAGCAAACCTCTGCATAGATCCTGGATGCATATCAGTGGATGCCTGGATAGAAAAAATGAGATTTTATCTCAGTATAGTGGTACATTCTTGTAATCACAGCCCTCTTGGAAGCTGAGTCTGCAGGATAAAAACATCCATTCAACCTGAGCAAGTTAATGGGCAAAAAGGATCTCTCCAGATAAGAAATAGTAAATCTGCAAATGGAATTCTGTGTTAAGATCTGTGTTTAACTCTCCTCCCTGAAAAATATGCTATGTAGAGAATAATGATATCTTCTGTCAAAAACCAAAAATAGTTTGGACTTCTTCCCATAATGATAAGTGAAATAAGTCAGACAGAAAAAGGGAAATATCACAGGCTTTCTCTTAAATAGGAAACTAAAGTGTATTTAAGGTGTAAGAGTAAGGAGACATAATAGGAAACAAATTCTAACTTTTCAGAAATGGGAAAGATGATCAGGTTAGATAGAGAAGGGGAAGAGTGATGGGGAGAAGAGCTCAAAAAGGACAATATTTGATACACATATGCAGCCATCACCTAAAATAATACTAGATATTACATATTGGAATAACACACCAATTTAAAATTCTCAAACAAATACCAGCACTTTTAAGACAGGCATGGTGGTTCACATGTATAGTCTTAGCATTGGGGTGCTGAGCCAGGAAGATGAGTTTGAGGCCAGTCTGGGCTACAAAGTGAGTTCAAAACCAGCCTGAACTGCATAGTGAGACCTTGTCTCAAAAAGTGCAAGAAAAAAACAAAAAACAAAAACAAAAATCATCACTTTTACAATGAATAGTACTTTATGAGGTATACACCAGGGCAATAAGTCAGTTAATCATTAAAATTTCTTAGGAGGCATCAAACCCAACTTGTCCTTGTAAATGACAATTTTTGATATACAGACTTTTTATTAGGATGAATATCTTTCTTCTTTTACCCTTACAGATATGGTTCAGACAATCGTTTGAGATTTGAAGAGAAGTTATATAAATGTAATGAACATAGAAAAACCTGCAGTGATTTCCAGTCCTTTCAGGAGCATGAAATGAGAAAGTCTGGAGAGAAACCACACCAATATGAGCAATATGGCGAGGCCAACTCTGATCTTACTGAACAAACTCTCCCTTGGGAGAAAACCTTCTTAGGTAAGAAAAGTGTGAAAGCCTGAACAACACCCACTGGTGTTCAAATCCATAAAAGAAAGCAGAGTTTGGGGAGTCCATATGTATACAAACACTGTGAGACTAGTTTTATTTCTTTACATCCTATTCAAAATTTTGAAAGAAGGCAGATAAAAAAAAACCCACATAACTAAGAAAGGTGTAAAAACACTAGCTCTTTGTAACTGGTTTCCAAAACATAAACAAATTCACACTGAGGAGACACCCTATGTATGTGAGGAATGTGGAATAAGATTTGTTTGTAAGTCCACATTTCAGAGACAAAGAACATTCCACATGGGGGAGAAAAAATATTTAGGTAAGCAGTGTGGGAAAGCATTCAGCAGGCACAGTGTCTCTTAAAATCATGAAAGAACTCAGACTGGGGAGTAAGATAATATATGCAACCAATGGGGGAATTTGTTCAGCCACAGCAGTAGCTTTCATGTAAATGAAAGAATCAACATGCATGAGAAACCCTATGTATGTAAGAAAGAGTTCTCATGGGGGAGAAACTTTATGCATGTAAGCACTGTGAGAAAGCATTCAGTGCACAGAATTACTGTAAAATTCATGAAAGAATTCACACTGGGGAGAAACCTTATACACGTAAACAATGTGGGAAAACATTCAGTTGAAATTGTAACCTTCTAGGACAGGAAAGAATTCATACTGGGGAGAAATTATTGTTTGTAAGCAATGTGGGAAAGCACCCAGTGCACACTTGCACTGTCAAAGTCATGAAAGATTTCACTCTGAGGAGTAACCCTATCTATGTGAGAAATATGGGAAAGGATTTGCTCATAAATCCAAATTTTGTAGACATAAAAGATCCCACACTAGGGAGAAATCCTATATATTTGGCAAGGTGGGAAATCTTTCATTGAACAGACTAACTGTCATGTGTATGAAAAAATTCACACTGGTGTGAAACCCTAAATATATAAGCAATGTAGGAAAACATTTGCGGGTAAATCCACATTTCGTAGACAGATCTATTACTGGGGAGAGACCACATGTATGTAAACAACAAATTATTCAGCACACACAAGCACTGTCAAAGACATAAAAGACGGGGCTGGGGGTTTAGCTCAGCGGCAAAAGCGCCTGCCTGGCAAGCGCAAGGTCGTGAGTTCGGTTCCCGGTACCAGAGAAAAACCAAAAAAAAAAAAGACATAAAAGACTTCACAATGGGGAGAAATCCTTTGTGTGTGAACATTATGGGAAAGCATACAGTAGGCAGAAATATTTTGAAATACATGAAAGAAGTCACACTTAGGAGAAATTCTATGTGCATCAGTAATGTGAAAAATCCTCAGCCTACAGTGTACTTGTCAATCACATGAAGGATTTTACTGGGAAGAAACCCTGTACATTTAAAGAATGTTGGAAAACATCCAGTACACAAAGTGCCATCAAATACATGAAAGAAGGCATACTCAGGCAAACTACATGTATGTAGGCAGTGTGGGAAAAGATTGGATGCGAACTCTTCATTTTGCAGACTTAAAAGAGCACACACTGTAAAGTAACTCTTAAGAAGTGTGTGAACAAATTTAGCTGACAATATAAATACTTGAACAAGGTCCCACTGGGTAAAAAGCCTATGTAAACAATGTGGGAAAGCATTTGGCATATGTAGGTATTGTCAACTACATCAAACAAGTCACACTGGAGATAAACTATAAATGTATGCCCAGTTTGAAAAGCCTTTGAAAAGTACTCATGCAATGGAGACCTGTAGAAATAAAAAGAAAGAATCTGGAAACAAACCCTTGCAACTGGAAAACCTAAAAAAAAAAAAAAAAAATGCAAAGGTAAACAAAAAACTACTGAAAAGCATTAAGTGTGTATGTGAGAAATGACTTTGGTGACATTATACCAAGGACTTTTGAATATCAGAAAAACCCAACAAATAATGTTTTATGAGTGAAAATCTTAACACATACCAGACCAGTGAAAAAATGTAGATAAGAAAGATAAACTTGGTTACAGACCAAACACTAGTTATCCTTAGGGAAATGCAATTTAAACCAATTAAAAAGAAATGACAACTGGGCATAGTGGTGCATGCCTGTAATCCCACCACTCTGAAGGCTGAGGTAGGAGGATACTTGCACGTTGAAAACCAGCCTGGGCTACAAAGTGAGCTCAAGCCAAGACTGAGCTGCATAGCGAGACCTTATGTCAAAAAGACAAAAAGCAAACAAAAAAAAGATTACATGAAAGTAGACAGAAAACTATTGGAAAAGAAGGAGATGAAAACAAGGGCAAAACGGAGGTAATGGGGGTAAAATTGACAATCTACTGTATGTGTGTACAAAGGTGTCAAAATGAAAGTTACTGATTCGTTCAACATTAAGCACTAATAATTAATTTGAAAGGAATAACAATTCACAGCTGTTAAAATGGACTAAAAGAAAGATGTCATGAAATCCCAAGTGTCCTTAAGAATGACAACATTTATAGTCATATTTATTGGTTATAGAAATGCAAATAATGTAAGCATTGAGGAAGACCCCTGGCAGTTCTTGTATATTAAAAATGAGGTTTAGCATAGAGTTCAGCATTTGAGTGTCTAGACCAAGATACAATACTCAGAGTATTATGGAACTGAAATCTTAATGTCCATAGGAAAAAATCAACACGTATATTTTTAGAAGCTTTAATCATATCATCAAACCCTGGAATTAAGCAAGATGTTGTATTGGAAGTGAATGGATAATGAAAGCCTGCAAGTAATAGAATAACAGATTGTCCCACTATAAAAAGTTATGATCGATTAAAGCAGAAAATAAAATTGATACTAAATTTAATTTGAGAAGTATAGAAATTCAGTGTAGGATGATATGTGTTCACTGGTTTGTGGGTGTGGTTATGCTAGTGTACATGTGTGTTAATACTTTTCAGGTTCATAAATGGACAGTTTAGGTGTTATACCTAAGAAGTTGTCACAGAAAAAGACACAAGAAAATAGACAATGATAGCCGGATGTAATCCCAGAACTCGGGAGGCTGAGGCAGGAAGATAATTGTGAGTTCGAGACCAGTCTGTGCTACAAAGTGAGCTCAATGCCACCCTGAACTGCATGGCAAGACTTGGTCTCAAAAAGACAAAAAGAAAAAAGAAAATAGACAATGACAGAAAATAAATGATGAAACTAACCAGGCATGGTGGTGCACGCCTGTAATACCAGCACTCAGGAGGCTGAGGCAGGAGGATCGTTGCGAGTTCGAGACCAGCCTGGGCTACAAAGTGAGCTCAAGGCCAGCCTGAATTGCATAGAGAGACCCTGTCTCAAAAAGACAAAAAAGAAAAGGTGAAACTGAGACTTGTTAACAGCCATCCACACAAACACTAACTGTTTTCTTTTAACAGAGAGCAGAATGTGTCAAAGTCAGACATGTTCACATTACAAGGGGAGGGATCAGCAGACCTCACCAGATGTGCCCCCCGAGTCCAGAAGCTTCATGAGAAGCCATTTTTCTTTTTCCACAGTGTAGAAAAGCAACAGGCCAGACAGTGTGGAAAACATTCACAGAACATCAGCACCCAGTTTCTTTTTTTTAAATTTAAGTTTATTAGTATAATTTAGTTATACAAAATGACCACATTTTTTTTTGTTGTTGTTGGTTTTTCTCCGGTACCGGGAACCGAACTCACGACCTTGCGCTTGCCAGGCAGGCGCTTTACCGCTGAGCTAAATCCCCAACCCCTAAAATGACCACATTGAGTATAGGGAATGTGTATCTGTTCATGACATATGTTGATTCCTCTTTTTCCCTCTTCTCAAACCCCCATCAGTCCCCATTCACAAAGCTCAGTTTTCTTTTTTTTTTTTTTTTGGTACCAGGAATCAAACTAATGACCTCAGGCTTGCCAGGCAAGCACTTATGCCACTGAGCTACATCCCCAGCCCCTTCAGTTTTCATTTTATCCTTGATTTCTCATTTTTTCTGTTCCCTTCCTTAACTTTCCCTGCTCCCTCCCTGTTTCGCTTTTCCTTTTGAACAGTTTCTGCCCATTTCACAATATCTATGGTACATCTGTGCTCTTGTTGACACTTTCAGTTTCTCACACCAAAGAAACAATGCGATATTAACACATGCTTGTCTGATTTATTTCACTTATGACTATCATCTCAAGGCCCATACATTTCAGCTTTGATTTTCTATGGAATATGGAACTGTTTCTGATGCTTTCACAATTTTACATGTTTGTAAAGCAAGAAAATTTGATATAAAAATGCAACTTTGTATAAATGAAAAATAAAATAAAGGGACAGATAAATAGCAGCGCATTATCCCACAGTGTGATATCATATTCTGTTGAATGCAATCACTGTTACCCGTATTGCCCGAATTTGTTACATAGCTGAAGGCCATGCAAATAGTGCCTCCCTCTGCTCATGAAAACCACCCCTGCCCTGACCCTGCCGCTCTCAGAGGAGCCAGTCCTGAACGCCTAGGTTTTCCAACTAACTGATTAGGACTGAACACAACAACGCACCATGGAGTTTGGGCTGAACTGGGTTTTCCTTGTGGTTGTTATAAATGTAATTTATGAAAACATATGATATTGAGTGTGTGAATCAGCGTGAGTAGAATAAGCCATGGATATATGTGGCGCTTTCCTCAGCAGGATAGCTCTGTGCAGGTATCCAGGCTGAGGGACAGCGGGCAGGGTCACAGCTCAACATGGTGCAGCCTAGGGGGTCTGTGAACCTCCTGTGCAGCCTCAGAATTCACCTTTACTAGCTGCAGCACGGACAGGGCCTGCCAGGCTCCAGGGAAGGGGCTAGGCTGACTCCTACGTAATGAGACTGATGGTAGCAGAATCGAGGCAGATTCCGTGAAAAGTTGAGTCACCATCACCAGAGACAATGCCAAAAACATCCTGTACCTGCTAGTGAACAGCTTGAGAACTGACACGGCTGTGCATTACTGTGCAGGGGACACAATCAAAGGATACCAGGAAGAGGCGGCACATGAGTAACAGGGCTAGCAGGGGGCGATAAGGGTCTAGTGAGCGTCTAGCAGAGAATAAGCTCAGGTGCAGAGAAGGAAGCTGAGCTCTTCCTGTCAGCCTCTGGCTTTTCCCCTGTCTTAGCATCATATGACTTGAAGAGATCCTGCAATACATCAGCAGCAGATTCCTTATGAAATAACCAAGTTCTAAGGGAAGATGTTTGTTTATGGCCTTAATTATATAATTATTGACTTCTACACATGCATTTTTACTAGAAAGGTAAAAGTACTTGCATATGTTTCAAAGAAACCTATAAATTTGAAGATTTTAGCAGCACAAATAATCCTATTGTGTTATTTAGAAATTAGTGCTTTATGAAATATAATGGTGGGGCTGGGAATTTAGCTCAATGGCAAAGCGCCTGCCAGGCAAGCACAAGGTCGTGAGTTTGATTCCTGGTACCAGAAGAAAAACAAAAAAACAAAATATAATGATGATATTTCCTCCTCTCTGTATCTCTATTTCTGGGTCCCTGTCTCCTTTTCTTTCTCTGTTTCTGATCTCTCCCTCTCTCTCCCTCTGCTGTCATTTTAGGTATAGTTAAAAGAATAGATAGCATTTATATAAGATAATGTGCTATATTTTAATAATATTTTCCTTTTCTTAACAGATTTTTCAACTGTTTGTTCTTGGCAATTGTTTTTGTTTTATTGGCATTAATTCTGTATTCATGTTTCACCTTCTTCAGGTGGCCTTGATAGTGACAGTCTACAGGAATGTGGGACTCATTCATCTGCAAGCCACCTGCTTTTCCTGAGGCATCACCAGCAGGTATCTGGGCCAGATAAGTTTCTTTTTCCACCGATGGAGGATGAGTCTCTAGCCGGCCCCCGTAACGCAGGCAGTAAGAAATCTAGCCTGGAATCTAAAGGCCTTGCCATTGCCCATCAACTCTTTTTGAGTTCTCGCATTGAAGGGACTGTAGTACCATGAAGAAAGGCCTTGAGAACACTGGGCTAGAGGCAGGAGAGCTCAGAGCCTAAGCAGCACTAGGGGGATACACAAAGGTGACATTTTCCTCTGTCTCATGTCCCAGCTCAGGGACAACTGTCCCGAGGAAATGGGCACAGAGAGAATATCAGCCAGGTTAGAACTCTCTGCAGTGTCCACTTCATTATGAGGGAGGTACTGACAGGCAAAAAAGGGCCTCTGCTGGATCCCAATACCCCAGTCCTGGTGGTTACCTCAGAATATGAGGGACTAGGTGATAAAGAGGGGATATAGCAGGTTGGAGCGGGACATTGTGTCATCTGAGCTGGATGTAGGTCCTGTCAGATGTCTCATGGGTGAGTTCTGACCTTTGTGAAAGCAGAGCAGCAGCAGAGTGTCTCCAGGCAGTAAGCACTGCCTGTTTTTCTACATTTTTGCATAACATTTTCAATTATCAGCATGCACTGTCTCCTACTTGTTATTCTTTTTTTTTTTTTTTTTTTGGTTTTTCTCCGGTACCGGGAACCGAACTCATGACCTTGCGCTTGACAGGCAGGCGCTTCTGCCGCTGAGCTAAATCCCCAGCCCCTTCCTACTTGTTATTCTTAAGGAATTTCTAGAGTTGGAATGACTTGGGCACACAGTTTCTGGAGGTCGTGCTTACAGCAGCCTTTTAATTCAGAGCAACACATTCATCTTCAGAGACCAGTCCAAGAGTCAGTTCTGCTGCAGCTGCACTGTGGGACTCAAGGGACCCTCTATACATTACTGAGTGAGAGACACAGGGAGAGAAATCAGTGTGCACTGAGAAAAAATCAAGGATAAGGAGACAGAATGGAGCCGAGCTTTAGGGACACTGAGGGGCTAAGCTGCACCATGATGCAGGTCAGGAACTGTGTAGAGAAGGAATGGGGAGGGGACTCCTGGTAGGTTTGTAGAATTGCTACCCATATGCACACACACACACACATACACATACATATGCATGGAGTCCTTGGATACTTCTTGGATGTCGTCCCCTCATCTCTCAGTCTACTTTGCTATCAGTGTGAGCTGAGCTCTGTGCTCTGTCTCACATTCCCACCATGGTCTGAGATTCAGAATGTATGGGCCAAAATCAATATCCACAAAATATTCCAATTTCTGTATCTGAATTTTTCAGATACTTTGTCATAGTGACAAAACCCTCAGTAACATGAACGTAGGACAGAAATCTGTTTACCGTCTCTTCTTGTAAGTATAAAACATTGAGGAATCCAAACCTCATTAGTAACAGAATTTAATGAATATGGAGACCAAATAAGTGCCTGTGCCCCATGGAGGGCGTCACATATTACATTAATTTTATCCCCTACTTATTGCAGACTGATCAGGCCAGCAACCTCCTGAACACGTGGACTGCAAAGGCTTACATAAAAGCATTCAGTGGTTTGAACTTTGGGCTCTGGGAGCATCAAAACCCTCTCACAGAATTTGAGATTCTGGGGGCTAAGACGAAGATGTTCTCTGCGTGGCCCATATTTATTTAGTTATCAAATCAAGGCAGGGAATAATGAAGAAAGGTGGGACTCGCCAGGGCCGATCAAAGTCTTTGGAAGTGCACTCGAGGGCTTCTCGAAGTAAGACATTATGTTAAACTAGGAGAACTATTTTATCTCCAGGACGGTGTCCACCCAAGAGTGAATGCCTGCATCTACAGTCTTAAAATTGAAATCTTGCTCAGAGCCACCACATAGTGCTGTCCATCAGTCACAGGGACCGTACGCCAGTTAGTCTTCAGGGATTTCATGTGGGACCTGCTACAGCCAGGCTTCAAAGCTTTTGTCAGCAGTAAATCAGGTGCTCAGACAAGTCAGAAGCTTGATCCTTGGAAAGAGAATTTCTTTAACTTGATGTCAGATACACTTATACAGTGAAAACTGATTAGAAGTCTGATTAGAAATTAAGAATTCTAGCAGCATGTTTCTAAGGAAATCTCTAATTGATGAGTCAAAGTTATTAGGTAGTTTGCAAAATATAGGACATTATTAATAGGCAACCTGTGATTGTTACAGAGAACGTGTGTCGAAACCGGTAATTCTGTACAAACTGAGCTCAGGGACTCAATAATAAGGAATGAGTTGTGGAAAGAAAGCAGAAACTTGGGAGACATTGGTTTTATTTTGCTGGAAAAAAAAAGAGAAAAAAAAAGATTTTTGGCTGTTCCATGAGTGGAATGCAAAAAAAGAAAAACAATGATAATTTGACCTGACTATGTCACACGCGGGTCTGCAATTCCTACAGAAGCCCTGTAGCCAATGAGGAAAAATAACAATTTATAGTGATAATGGCTTAGAGATACCAAGTTTAAATGGGAAAATGAAAACTCTTTATTTGGAAGAAATAAAAGAAACATGGGACAGACAGCTACCTTGTGAGAAGGTACTGGGCCCAGACCAAGACACCTGAGGGCCTATGTTCATGGCTAGTTTCATTAAGAGACAAAAGCCCTTTCCTTGGAAATTGTGCCAAGCCCTAAGATTCCCAGCCCAGGTCCCATTGCCTACCTGCAAATTACTAGTGAGCTTCATTAGATTTTCTTTCTTCCTGTCAATGTCTTACATATAAAACTTATGGGTTGTTTAAAAGCAACCTTATGTACACAGTCAAGTCAACAATTTAGAAGTGAGCTAATGCAGTAATATGATGACCCTAGAGTGGAAAAAGAAAAAAAAAAAAAAAATATATATATATATATAAATGGTTTTGCTTCCAGCCTAAAGTCTTTTTGAGTCCCACACTTGTTTCCTGGAAGTGACCAAGCGGTTACATGTGGGGCTCTGTTTCAGCAATCACTGTGAACCTCGTACCTGGCTACAGTGATCTTCATAACTTAGATATTGTATGACAGTGTATACAGTATGAAGCTTGTCTGAGGGAGTGGCACTGTTTGCTTTTCTGTCATCTTCACTCTTTCACAGAAATTTTTTACCATTTATGTGTAGCTTCTTCATTTCCACAATAATGTATTTCTCTTGGTGGAAATATATGGAATGAAAATGAGTAGACTGAGAGACTGTGTGAATATCTTAGCAATAAAGCCTACTGCCAACATTCCCAGCAATAGTCCTCACCCATTCTGATTTGTCCTGGGCTGACCTGGCCTCATAATGTTGTTTGTATTTGAGGGATTGATTCTTCCATAGGACATTCCCCCAGGCAGCTTCTGAGCATACACATGACTCACCTTCCAGGGAGGGTGCATGGAGTCCTTTATGAAACCCAGGGCAGCTCTGAAAAGTCAGAAGTAAAGCCCTTAAATGCAAGAGTTACTCCTATGTGGTGAGACTGACATCATAGGAGAGAGACAAGACTAGGAGATAATTATCAATAAAAGTATGGGCTTGCTGACCTACTGTCCCAGTTACTTTTCTCTTGTTGCTGAGACAAACTACCCGATGCCCAAGATTAAGGAAGGAAAGGTTTATTTAGCTCACAGTTCATGGAGGTTTCAGTCTATACTCAGCTGGCTCCAGAGTAGTGTGGCACATGGTAGAGGGCAACAGCTGATAGCTGTGGAAAACAGCAAAAGCAGCAAGAACAAAAAGGGAGGAGTAGGAGCAGGAAGAGCAAGCCTCTTCCCCTCCCATATATTGTATGCAAGCTACCACCCAGGGCAGGTGTAGCATGCACACCCATAATCCCAGCATTGGACCATGGATCAATCATAAACTCTAGAAGCCTGCACCCACGATTGCATGAAGCTTTGGGGGAACATCCAAATACAAACAATAACAGCTGCCCAATCAGGTGGGCCAAAAGAAGAGGGCTCTTCCTTGGTCCTCCTGTGGAAGTGCCCACTGTGAGTTCAGTGCTTAGAGCCCTTAGCACTGACTAGATCTGTTGTTTCTGTGACATCTTACTGGGGACTGCAAAGTATCCTCGGAGACCCTCAAGACATGCAATGGTAACCTTATGGGATGGGAGCTATGGTTGGGATGGAATTGTATAAATTCTCAAAGGAATTAGCCAGAACCAGATATGGCAGTCTACTGCCTTCTTGAGTATTTGTGGACACTGAGGCCTTCCTGAAACTTTGGTCCTGCCTTATCATCTGTCCCATTTTCCCTTTGCTCAAGCAGGGACAGTTCTCTTCCTCTGAATACTGTCCACGCTGACATTGGAAGCCCAAAATTCCTTCTTGGACACCCTCAGGCACACTGGTATCTCCACCAGTTTGAGGAGTGCAGTGTATTGGGGGCAAACCTGGGTTCCATCTTCAAAGTGAAAAGAATTATCATTTGAATGACTTATGTGAGACCTCTACTCACAATGATCTTACCGCATAAGCAGAACCAGAATCTTACAACATATAGAAATGAGGTCTGGAACCAGCTAAAGAAATGAGAATAGCTCCTTGATTTCCAGGATGCGTTCCAAGTGGGTAGCAAGGCCACCTGTGACACAAGTGGATTTAAAATGCCTCCTCCTTTCTTTTTATTTGCATACATTTTACATCTGTGTCACGTAGCCTGGCCTGGAACTCTTGGCCATCCTCCTTCAGCCTCCAGTGTGCTGGGATTACAATCATGAGCCACCACGGCCAGCCAAAACAACCACTTTTCAAGCCAGATTCTTTAACCCATCTCCTCAGGGTGCAGGCTCTAAAGGAAACAGGTTTTAGAGAAAAACTGGCAGTTTGTACATTAAATTTCTCCAAACTCATGAGCTTAGAATTTCACAGGTACAACTCAGCCACCTAGAATTTCATAACAACTTATTCACCCAGAATTTCACAGCTACAACTCACTTGTAGAAAAGAATCAGCATTTTTCATAGGGGAAATAGTTCACTACTGGTTC